ACTGCAATTTTATATTTTAATAAATGTGCAACACTTCAATGAAATTTTTTCAATTTTATTGCTTAAATAACTGTAATTTATAATATTTAGTATTTAATATTTTAATACTGATTTTTTGTGTATAGAATAGATTTTATTCAAATATTATAAATTACAGTTATTTAAGCAATAAAAATGAAATAATTTCATTGATGTGTTGCACATTTATTAAAATATAAAGAATAATGTCGAAAGTGTATGTTATGTTGCCTAAGCTGGCACCCGGGATATTATGATTGATTCCAATAGACCTTTTAACCCTGAGTCAGAATATGTAACTTATATTGTCCTGTGACCTCGGGTTCGGCCGCAGTGATCACTTTTATAGAGAATATTTTCAGGGAAAAATCCATTATCCATTGCCTCTACAGACAGTAGTGCATCCACGTCTAAATGGCTCATAAGCACCGGTAGGTGCGATCAGTACATCTAATCCTAAATTATCCGAAATGAGTATTTCTGCGGCTTTTGTGGTGACATATTCATAGCCCAATTTCCTATCCCACACCGACAGGTACTGCAAATCCAAGTATATATTCTTCACATACAAGTATTTGCCCTCAAGTGTACCACTGGTTATCAGGTATACACTCTCTGACTGCGTATAAGCTAGGTATAAAAACCAGATAAATTTAAACAATGTAATTTGTAGTCATGATTATCAATGTAATTATATACAGAGTTACCTCCCGCTGGATAGACACTAGTGGCTAATATTATCAGTTTATTGACAACTTTCTGGTGATCCGGTAACCATTGTATCAGAAAATGTGAACTGGTCTCGGTGATCAGTATTAGGTTACTACTGGTATTCTCAACCAGGGTGTAGTTCCCCGAGTCTTTACCCTCGCATTCATGATAATCGGATTTCCATATGAATGGTATCCTTCGCGCTAATGGTTCATAATTTTTGAAAATAGTTTTTATAGAAAATATAGTGATAAAGAAAATAATAGTTACCAGGTGCATTTATTGCAAAAGTTATATCTGATAAAATAAAATTTATTTTAATTTTATGTTTATAATTAAATATAAGCTTACCAAATAATATAAAAATTAAAACCGGTAAAATGCAAATACTATTCATTTTTTAACTCACAATTAATTCAATAATAAAATTGAGTATTATAAATTATAAGTTATAATAATTTGTTAGCACATTTACTTAATTAGTTATTTTTAAAAATAAAGTCTAGCACATGTCTTATATCATTACTTTTTGAATACCGTGGTATAAATGTATTAATAGTATACATGTTTAATTTAAGATTTTATTTAACAACCTTGATTTAAAGTGAATGAACTTTTTATACGCTTTTCCGTACGGGAAAATCACTGTATGCCCCCCTCTCTCACCCCGTAATTAATGAAGTTGATCATGGTCAAATTATGTTTTCTCATAAATCATTCAATTTAAAAATAAAATAATCCTCATGCTAATTCCAATCAAAATATAAATACAGTAAATACTGTACTAATAAAATGCAAATTGTGTACATTTTTAACTAGATAATGAAATTAAGCATATTTATATTTAGAAATTAGCTAATTATTTAAAAAACAAATTTAGCAAATGTTTCATAATTAATACTATTTAATAAATATATGTAAGTTTATTTTTATATAACATAACTTTTAAAATTTAGTGAGAAATATTAACCTTGATTTAATGTCAACGATATTTTTATAAAAATTGTATAAAAAGCACCAATATTTTTAATTATATAACTAAAACACCTGCAATTAAAACTTTTAAAAATTATACAAGTTTTATAAAACTTAAAAAAATAAATAATACAATTGCATTTATATATTATTTAAACTCATCGTAAGCGCCTGTAGGCACCCGTAAAGTAAAATGTAGCTTATCAAATATTAATTAATTTATCCAAAAACGAATATTAATGTTAAAAGTAAAATGCTTACTGAAAACGGTATAAAGCTTAAAACAAAGATTATATGTTTAAATAATTTATTAAATAATTACTAGTACGCGCTAACCTTTATTAGTATACAAATCCCTATTACTGGTAGACTTAGCGTGTAATAGCATACTTTTAAATAAAAAACAATAAAAATCTATCGCAATCATAACGAACATCCTTAATTTTATTAATAGACTTTAATATTTTGAAATCTTTGAGCATTTTAAAAACTGTCATTAAAAATAATTATATTAACTTGCATTGGTGTTAACTTTTAGCGATTAACATAGGCACGCATTTAATCAATAATTTTTATGGATAATTATTAAAATTTTAAAATATTTAATAAATTGTAAGTTACCAATCTATTATACAGTAGCAAATAAAATATATACTTATGTAATAAAACTTTCGAAATTATAATTAGTACAAAAAATAAATTAATAATCAATTTATAAAAACTGTCAACTTTTAGCTTTAATTAAATTTAATATGTTTTATAAAATGCATTTTTAAAATTAATGTTTATTTCAAATGTCCAGATTATGAAGCACTGCCTACTATCCATCCCTTGCCTCTGCACACTGTAGTACCTCCGCGTCTAAACTCGTCGAAAGCACCGGTAGGCGCTATCAGTACATTGAGATCAAGCCTATCGGATATGACAAGTGTCGCGCTCTGAGTGGTCACGTAGTCGTAGCCCAGAATGGATGAGCAGATCGACAGATACTTCAAATCCAAGTAAACCAGCTTTTGGTACACGTATTTGCCTTCAAGTGAACCATCGAGACTTAGCCACAAAACTTCACCTTGCGAATAAGCTAGCAACAATTTAGCATTAATTAGTATACTGTAATAACAAACATAACTAATATTAGTATTAAAATAACGTATATATATAATATTTATTTAAATTAGTATGTTTACAATATTATTAAAATAACTGGCATATTTTTAAATGATCTAGTATATTTTAAAACAATTACTAATACGGACTTACCTCCCTGTGCGATCGTGGACAGTGCCAACCGTTTCAAATCACTGGTAATACGTTGTCGATTAGGTAGGCGCTGTGTAATCTCGTAGAAACTGGTATCGGCACCGGCACTGTTTATGTCACACGCCTGATCCCGACTAGTGACCATGGTCACCGTGTAATTACCGGAATCCTTTCCCTCGCAATCGTTATAATCGATATTCCATAAGAAATATTTCCTCCTTGCTACATTTTAAAAATTAATGTCGTATCTTAAAATATTATCTTAATATACTAATGAGTCATTTGTAATGACCAAGTAACTTACCTTGGTTATTTTGAGCTGCATATTGACCTATATATTCAATTTAAATGATAGTTACATGCGATTAGTATTTATTTATTTATTTAATTTTAATGCATAATTTCCACAAACCTATAGCCAGGTATATTAGAACTAGACTTATTATTGAATTCATTTTAACTTTTTAAAAAATTCTATTTTAGTTAATTGTGCTTAAATAAAATAAAATTGTTGTTTTATATATTTTAAAAATCTGTACAAAATTTTCCTATTTAACCATTTAATTATTTTATATATAATAGATGTTTTATAAAATAATGAGTTTAATAATCTTACATTTAAAATTTATTATATTAATGACATTAAAAATAGTTGAACTTTTTGCCCTTAAAAGGTACTTGTTAGGTAACAAATTATGGAAACTTAATTACTTTATTTTTAATATAAAATGATTTTTTTTATTAAAATCATAATAAATAATTCGTTTTCTACAATACCTATTTAACATATGTAATAAATCTATCACCACCAAGACAATTTATTAAGATAATACAATTAAATTAAGTAATTTTATTGGAATATACTGTAATTATAATACCACAATTTTATTATTTAAAATTTATTAAAGTATAAATTAATTTAATTATAATATTGCAAAACTGTAAATAATGTTAAACAAAAAATTACGGTATGCATAGAGACTTAATGTTTGTATAAATTGGCCTTGATGTTCAGTTTGTTTTATTTACAATTTAATTCCCCTTGAATATTTTTATTTAAAATTATCTCAATACTAATGAACATTTAGCTAGGTAGTCCAATTGTGGCCCAACACACGGTAATAAACATATTTTCCATCGAGATTACCATTTGATATCAAATATATTTTTTTCATATAAGTACGGTATAACCTTTAAATAAATAGCTTGGTTACATTTATATACCTGATAAAATCAATGATCTCTCATTTGTTATGCAAGCAGTGAAGTCCGCAACAATTAAATCAATGTATTAGAGCTTTAAAATATATTTAATTTTATTATCTTATCCAACAAATTTTACCCTGCTGTAAATCACTACAATAAATAACCTGATATTTATCCATAATACATGGTAGCCGTACAGATAGATGAACTACCTTTCCTGAACTCATCAAAACTTTTAACTAAAACCATATTAATGTCATCAATGTTTGCAATTAATAGGACGGCATCCCGGGTCACACCATAATCATCTCGATAGCCATATGGGGGACATTTCTTCAAAAATTTAACTTTCATAAATGTAACCTGCTCATAAAATATGCGACCCTGTAATGGACCAGTTGTAGCTTGGTAAACTGCTTCATAGCGTGTAGTATCTAGTGTCATAAATATTAATTGAATTTTACTTAAACATGTATAATTAGTTGTATGTACGCATATGCTAGATATTTTTATTATACAGACCAGTCAATGGTTGAACTTTGTGCCAGATAACATTAAGGTGGTTCAAATGTTTGTGCGAGATACCGTTTTCATATGATGCAAGGTTTATATATTCAATGCCACCATCGGAACTACTGGCGCTACACGTGTCGTCCCGACTAACCCGCACTGTAATGGTATAAACGGAGGTGTCGTTCCCCAAACACTTATAGTCACCGCTTCGTACAAAATATATGCGATTTTCTGCTATAATTTATTGAAACATTTAGGCATAGATTCAAAATGTAAAATTATAAATACCTGAAGTTATGTTTTTAATAAGTGTATAAATTATACACAATTTTAGACTAATGATTATGATATTAGTCATTGTTTTATATAGAATTTATTTTTTAAACTTATTTATTTAAAAATTATTATTTAAACCATTTATATATAACATTTAAAAATAATAATTTTATATTAAACATAATCAATATTTAAAAATATAATTAGATGACACTAATATTACTGATATCGATAAATATAATAATCATCAGTTAGAAAAAGGATATATGGTATTAAATTACAAATGATCAGCATAAAGTACTTATTAATCATAAGTTATCATTAAGTTAAGTTATAATTATTATCACTATTGACTATAAAATAATGTAATTTTAAAAACAAAATATAAAAACAAAATATATCTCCAAAAATGTGTCATAATTTTATTTCAGACAACAACCCCGATATCAGTGAACAGGCATTCAGGTCTACAAACAAAGACTATACTATAGGCGACCAAATTGTCGAAAGTAATGTTTATAAATTATAAATTCTTACCAAAAACTGTAAGTTTGTATAACATTTTGATCATATCTATATAAATTTTTGTTGTAATATGTTATTGGCGACAAATTACCAACAATCATGTTTATTATTTTGAAAATTTAAAACTCATACTAACATTATATTTTGTAAACATATTTATTAATAATTTTAATTATAGCAAATGTTATTTTACACACTAATAAGCCTTTGTTTTAGATTCTTAACATAAACCTAAAAATGACTACAGCATGGTATTACGTACTACAGGTAATATAACGGATTTAGTATAGCTTACTAGTATAGTATAATTTTAATTTATGTATAGCTTGTTTAAAACATTAACCAAATTACTCATTTTACAAAATATAGCCGGTGTTGGCTAATCGGCACCGAGTGGTACAACCACTACGAAATTGTTCAAACCCACCATTAGGTGCCACAAACACCGATAGGTTTACCTCATCAGCTATTAATAAGTCAACACTACCGGTGACCAAGTAGGCCATACCCAACAATGATGAACATTTAGACAAATAAGTCATCTGTGGTCTCGAGAACCGGTAGTAAATGTATTTTCCCTCGAGATTGCCATTTAATACCAAACAAATGCTTTCATACACATAATTACCTAAATTGTAACAAGGTAACTCATAATTATTGTAATTAATTAAGATAATAATAAACATAACATACCTCCAGCAGTGGTATCATAAATAGCCAATACTTTTAGATTATTAATAATTGATTTGCTATTAATATATGCAATGAGGTGTTCACGCAACAATTGAATCAATGTACTTAATCTTTAAAAAATATTTATTTTTATAAAATCATTTGTTATAAAATTCTTATCCATCAAGTTTTACCATGCTCTAAATCACTACAACAAATAGCCTTATATTTATCCATAATAAATGGTAGCCGTACAGACAGTTGAACTACCTTTCTTAAACTCATCAAAATTTTTAAGTAAAACAATATTAATGTCATCAATGTTTGCAATCAATAGGACGGCATCCCGGGTCACACCATAATTATATTGATAACCATATGGGGGACATTTTTTCAAGAATTTAACTTTCATATATGTAACTTGCTCATAAAATATGAAACCCTGTAATGGACCAGTTGTAGCCTGGTAAACTGCTTCATAGTGCTTCATAGTATCTAGTGTAAATTAAATTTTACTCAATTTTAGTAAACATGTATAATTAGTTATACAGTATATACCACTGATGTGGAATTAGTCATTTCAATGTAGAAAAAAAGGTTTCGATATTTCCAGAAATTGTTGACAGTATTTCGGGATTATAGGGAATTCCGCGGAAAGTTAAAATATGGCAAAATTCATAAATTAAAATAATTTCCTGGTCAGTTAGCATTACCCAAGACACACCACGTGGAGGTCGACCAGAATGTGTCTCACCCTTTTTTTTATGGAGGTTGTTCTTTCAGTCATTCCTCTAGTTCACTTATAAATCAATACATTAATGGCTTTTATGATATCGGCGTTTTGTCATTATTTGTTCAATATTTGGTTTGATGTCTTTGGCGCTGAATATTCGAAGTCTCGCTTCTAGTAATTTATCTGATATTCTATTCGTTTGTTTGGTCTTAATTAAATTCATGATAGAAAAAAGTTGCTCACAATCATATGTTGTTGAGAAAATAGTTATGGTTTTAAAAGCATTTTGCTTAAGTAAAATGAACTCTTGTGGTAATCGACTATAGAAATCATTAATATTTATGGATTTAAACAATTCTTTCAAATTTGAGTTTTGTCTTAACATAATCACTTCATTACGAATAAAATTATTAAAATTATTATAATCAGAAGTGAAAGGATTGATAAAGAGATTGAATTCTGATTCATGTTTCCGGAAATCATTAAAACGATTGTCAAACTGAGTTATCAATGGATCGATGAGTAATAAGAATTTATGAGAATTAAACAAAAAGTTATTATGTTTTGAGATATGCTTTTGAGAGCACACTAATTCACTCCAATCCATTATATTAAAATTAGATGATTCAATTGCTAATTTTAATGAACACAACTTGGAGTAA